TATATATAGTGACACAGTAGTTTTTATATTTTATTTAAATAATTTACAACCAATTTATTTCATATTCTATATAGACATGAATGCATTTGACAACATACAGTATATACCCCACTGATTCTGACTGCAAATTATAGGTAAAAGTAATTTATTATTGATTTTACTATATTCATACATAATATACATCATTTAGAAATGAAAGTATTGGATCAAATACAGTACATTTAAATTATGGAATATTTTCAATAACCTTTTACATGAAATTACTGTACATTAATATAAATGGCACAATAAATCATTTGTATGTATGCTCAAGCAATAATATAATATGCATTCGCATTTATTAGGCAAAATAATTTTCACAAATCATTTGATGACAATATTATCATCAAGATGTGATTGCAATATTTATATTGCACTCAAACAAGTATAATGTTTTATTTATTTTGGTAATCACATAAAAAATTTTGTATTATATTCCTACGATTTTTTGTGTACTAAAAGCTTAATATATTTAATAAAAAGTGATGGAAAAATATGCATTTATTAAAAACCTGGAGTACAAAGTGGACAGCGAGTTGGGAAAATATTTGCTTATCAATGAGACTCCGTGCCCACACTGACACTTGATAGACAACTACTGTCGAAGCTCTGAGTTGTCAATCTCTATGTTGTGTATCGCTCTATGGTGTGAACTAATCCTGATTTTTTGGCGGATTCCCTATACCTGTAATGTTAAAAACATTCCTTTCTCGAGTCCGTAGTTCACGAAATCGCGCAAAATGTCGAGCCGTTCGCCGGCACTGATATCCCAGAGCCGGCGCTCCTTAATCTCAGTGAAAATCCACGGCTTAATCAGTGCTCCCCTTCCGATCATAGCACCGGCAACACAGCCACCGGCGCCCACTCTCTCATAATACTCTTCGTGTCCCAACACATCGCCCGAACCGAACACAGGTATGGGTCGGGCCTGTAGTGCACACTCATTGATGTACTCCCAGTCCGCGCGCTTTGTGTAGCGCTGTTCGCGCGATCGGCCGTGAATTGTCATCAGACCTACCGGTGCGGTCGCACCCGTATCGCAACCGGCGATCACATTCCACTCCTTGACAGCCGACACCACTTTGTGGGCGATATGCTTGTGCTGATAGACACCGGTCCTCATTTTGAGGGTCAGGGGACAGTCGGTCACCGATGACATACCTGTCCACACCATTCATTAGTCAATTACAGACAATAAACACATTTTCTAATAACAAATACCGTAAATAATTTCATCCAATTTCTTATGCCTTTCCATTAGACCACTTCCGGCGCCCTTTTGGTAGACTATATCTATAGGACATCCCATATTCACGTCAATGAAGTCGATGTCGCAGTTCTCGTGCAATACTTGCGCGCATCGGCTCATCACTTGGGGATTAGCGCCACAGATCTGAACGCCTTATCAATGGATCAATGAATTCAAAGATTATAATCAATTCATAAATAGTGACAACAATTCCAACCGAATATATCTTCGGAGGGATGCCTCCGGAGTAGCGCCCACTCCGACTGTTGACCCTCTAATAGGTTGGACGCCATCGCCATTTCCCCGCACGTGATGTCTGCGCCAAACTGTTTGCATATACGCCGGAACGGGAGGTTCCCAACGGTGGTCAGTGGCGCCAGATATAGCTTCCCCGCGAAGTCTATTGTCTTACGTGCGGTGCCATCACTCGCACCACCAGTTCTTGAGCTCGACTTCAGTGTCTCATAACTGGTGTCTGCGGCGCACGCCTTAAGCCGATCGGTGACCGCCTCAGCCTTCGAGAAGTCATACCTTCGCTTCCGAAGACTGAACTGAAGCTCTTTTGTCAATACATTTCGGCACGTCTTCTGCGCCGACATTTGCGCCCATTTGTCCGAATCGATGGCATTGCGGAAGCCGTCCGTCAAGTGTTTGCCACCGAATCGACAGATGAGACCAAACGGACATTTGCCGAACCGGGAGAACACATAACACTCGTCGCCGATGTCGGCCACGCGAAGACCCTTTCGGTGGTATTCCTCCAAAGCGTGCGAATGGATACACTTCTGGCCGTACGAGCACTCGTTGTCGCAGACATAACTCAAACACAACTTCTTGCCATCGATTTGGTTATTAAACGAAGACTTCTCGTTGAACTCGCGTCTCATCCGATTTCGTCGGCCTTTGTTTTGACCGCGGAATCGCTTCTTATTATTCTTCGGGTTATCGTCTGTCGACTCGTCCTTCTTGTCGTCCCTATTGTCCGCCACTTCGGCCGCCAATTGGTCGCCGACTGTCTCATCGCTAGTGTCCACGCGTTTCGACAGATATTTCGTGTCAAAGTGTCTGATGGTGTCCTTCGCCAAGAACTCCGGCTTAATGGCAGCGAATCCAGAGGTCGAGTGGTTTTCGGGTTTATTATCTGCCAATCAATTGGTGACCAAAACATTAACAGTAAAGACAACCGAAGGCATCGCCTAAAAGACATACCGATTGTCGTGTTCATTGGCGCCGACACATCGCCACCGCTGTTGGTGTCCACCACTGGATCAGCTGCGAGTGATTCACTCTTAACGGCATTCATGTCTTAAACCAATTGTTTTGTGAATCAAAAGCAATTCAATGACTGATTGAATGATTAAAATGAGTGAAAATATTGCAAAACACATGTGAGTTATGTTTAAATTGTACACAAAATCACAAATTCATAGATTATGTTACGTTTATATGACAATCAATTCCCCTTATCTAGTATTTATGTGAATAACATGTATGTAATAGACCTCTAACTCATGCATAAGTTACAATGTATGTGATCATCAATTATCATATATTATAGTGTTGGCTAATGAACACCACAATAATGCCATCTATTGACTAATAGTGTCATATAAATTCTTAATATTTTTTAATGTTAAGTTTATTAGCAATTTAATAAATTGCCAATTTATAACTTTAATAAAAATAATTTTCATTAATAAATAGTATACTGTATATTGCTATAATATTAGTTGTTAAAAATATATAAATTTATTTAGAGTTTTAAGTTTTCAATATTTATTCGTAGTATCAGTGAAAATGACTTAAAAGTAAAATTAAGATAATTGCCGACCGTTTTCGGGTCAACACTGTGACCATCATCAGGGATAAGATGTTATGAAATATGAGAATGAGTTTCACTATTGAATTACATTTGAAAACATATTGATTTATATATATATATAATAAATAATATATTAATTTAGTTTAATCAAATTATGTTACCTGGTGACAACTTCATTACCAGAATAACTTTATGTTATCATCTGGGTTAAGTGCTATTATCTACTATTTTAAACATTGTAGTTAATCAAAATTATAATTAATTTAAGTTGCTAATTTTTAGAAAGCAAACTTAAATTATTTTTGTGAACAACCCAATAATTCATAACGTAATTTGTCATTTATAATATTAAAATATTTTTATTAATAATATTATTTGAAACAATTAAACTATTGTTTTAATAAAAACTTAATATAATCTATAAATAGATACAGTATTTATTTTAATAAGCCTAGGTAATTTGTCCAAACAGATGCCATTTATCTATAAATAGTTTTGTTTTTCTCACTTTGTATCTGGGAATCGGCACTAAAAACAAATTAAATGATTAATTATTTATAAACTTACTGTAAAACAAATATGAAACTTATGGCGGAATATTAAATTATTTTAGCAATTGTTTTATTAGAGAGATTATATATGGTTCTAAACAATTATATTTATAGATGATCTAGGATATTAAGTTTGAAAAACTTTCATTTAATCTAATTATTATGAAATTAAAGTAAGGTTTAAACACATATTAGTCTTATTTTTATGGTTATTAAGTAAGTAAATTAATATTTCTAAAATATATAATATATTTGTATTTTGACACAGTAGTTTTTATAAAAGAAAATTTTATTTAAATAATTTACAACCAATTTATTTCATATTCTATATAGACATGAATGCATTTGACAACATACAGTTATACCCCACTGATTCTGACTGCAAATTATAGGTAAAAGTAATTTATTATTGATTTTACTATATTCATACATAATATACATCATTTAGAAATGAACTTATTGGATCAAATTCAGTACATTTAAATTATGGAATATTTTCAATAACCTTTTACATAGAATTACTGTACTTAATATAAATGGCACAATAAATCATTTGTAATGTATGCTCAAGCAATAATATAATATGCATTCGCATTTATTAGGCAAAATATTTTTCACAAATCATTTGATGGCAATATTATCATCAAGATGTGATTGCAATATTTATATTGCACTCAAACAAGTATAATGTTTTATTTATTTATTTTGGTAATCATATAAAAAATTTTTGTATTATTTTCCTACAATTTTTATGTGTACTAAAAGCTTAATATATTTAATAAAAAGTGATGGAAAAATATGCATTTATTAAAAACCTGGAGTACAAAGTGGACAGGGAGTTGGGAAAATATTTGCTTATCAATGAGATTCCGTGCCCACACAGACACTTGATTGACAACTATATAAACTTTATATTATAAATTCTGTATAGACTATCGGTACAGGCACATTTGATTTGTATTGAAGGTCTGATTTTTGTTTTTAATTCAATTACACCACAGTATATGCATTAAATTGATCAACAAATTTAATATCAAGGAAAGGAGTATAAGTTGTTTACTAGTTTAGTTGAAAAAGGTTTAGTTTAGTAGTAGTTATTAAAACTTTTTTAATAATTTTGCCTTGGCCATGAGACAATATAATTTGTCTAATATATTTGTAAATATTTATTGCCGATTACTATATTTATAGCGAATTCAATACTCAAACATTTTTGGTGACATTTTATGGAAATTTAATCAAATTGATTATTTATTTTACTGTTAAAGTATTACATTGGTGCAAAAGTTCTTGCCTAAATTGTCATAGAACACAATGTTATAACAGGCGAGAACTTTTGCACCAATGTAATATAATATTTCAACCATTCATTTCAATTTCATTTGCATGCATTTGGAGACCAAATACAAATCAAATAAATAAAATATATTTTATTTCAATTTGATTTTTGTTCATACATTTAGACGTCATTGAAATCTGAGGATTCAATTTAAAAACAAAAACTTTGTGAACATATTAATCATATTCTGGTGAAAAATTACTGGACTTTTGGGAAATACTGTATTAAATCTTATCACAGATTTAATGATAAATGTTTAATAGATGTTTTGCTATACTTATATGCAGAATATTCTTGATGAGTCCAATCTAAAGGGATACTGTACAGTAGCAATCATAAAAGTTTAATTCACATAATGTCATACTTATAGCTCACATAATGTGCTATTTTTTTACTTTTCTCTCTATTCGTTGAAAAAATAATAAAAGATTCTGTGATTGGATTGCAGTGAATGGCAAATAAAATAGCTATGAATGACTCGTACGGCATATTATAGAAGTTCACGGGAATTAATTATAGTTATTGGCCACATAAGTAAATAAATAGACAACTATTAACAGGGCATTTCAATGTGATATAAATAATTTCATTTTAATTCCGGAAACAGTTATCTAATTAAATAAATTCTGCAAAAGTCTCTAAATATAGTATGAGTTTTAAGTAATTGGAAAATTTTCAACTTTATGGCGCGCGCTTAAGACTTAATTGTTGGGATTAATCTATGCGTCCATTTGTAGGCCTGTTATCACTGATTATGAATATCATATTTCATATGATATTCATAATCAGTGATAACAGGCCTACAAATGGACGCATAGATTGATCCCAACAATTAAGTCTTAAGCGCGCGCCATAAAGTTGAAAATTTTCCAATTACTTAAAACTCATACCTTAACTAGTAATCATTAAACATATTAATTATTTTAAGAATTTTTAAAAACATTAAGATTTAATTAAAATACAATATAATATGTATATACAAATTTTATTTTAATTTTAATTATTTACAGTTTATTTTTAATTTATATTTCATAATTTTAATCTTAATTACAATATTTATATTGAAGTTGTTTTTTGTTTACTAATAATAAGACTTTTAAAAATGGTATTTTACATTAATAATATTTGTATTTACAATAATTTTTATATTAAAATGTTGACCAGGTCATTTATTATCTCAAATTATAACGTTATAATATATATTATATTACAATTTAGACTATACTAAACTCATACATTTAATAAGACACGTGCAGTCCATACATAATACTTCATTCAAATAAAACCTGCATTATCATTATTGTAGTCTATTTTATTAAAAGGTCCAAGGTGTATTTTCTCCAGCATATCATTTCAATGAGATTGTCATGAAATCCATATCACATGTGAACTACATATTAGTCGGTTTCGTCTCAATACTCAATCAATATTTCATATAAATATTAAAGTGTTACAAATATTGACATAATTATGAATATAATTTATATTAAAAATAGAGTTCAGACATATGAGCACATGTGAGGACATACTGGTGGAAGTGGTTGCAGAGGTGGTGTGGGTGTGAGTGGTTATGGATGTGGTGGACAGTTAGACAAGTGTATCGCCTGTAAACAGATTTAAAACTAGAGAACAAACACTTAAAACAGAATTTATAAAACATAATATATATATATATGATATATATATTATATATTATATATGTTTATATATAAACCTTGAGTCTTAAGTAATTGCACAAAATCTGATTGTTTATGGCGCGCTTAAGACTTAATTGTTGGGATCAGTCTATGGGTCCATTTGTAGGCTATTTATCACTGATTGTGAATATCTTATTACTTACTGTACATTATTATCCTTAATAAAATTATAGCACCTAGAGCACATACCTGTTCTAAAATAGTTGTGCAAAGTATTTCGTATTGTCGCGTATGTTAAATTTAAAATGTTTCCCTAATTTATTCACATAGAGATTTTCTGTTATGATTTTGAATTTAATT